ATTTCCGTGATTGACAATTTATATTAAAACGACGGTATTTCGAAAGGAATTTTGCGCAATTTATTTATTCAAATCGAAACGCTAGAGAAAAAGAATTACGAATGATTGTTTTATTGCGATATTTACGGGCAGTAATTGTCGGAATTGTTTCAAATATAATCTAGCAATGCGCTTCAAACTTTCCGTCAAGTCAAATCTAATTAGTTTGGCTCTCGAAAGTGGCGGAGTAACATATATGAATCGCGAAGATTACGGAAATTAGCCATAATTGCGTTGAACGTTCGATGACGATTAATTCGAAACGCAGAGAACAGAAAATTCGGGATAAATCTATTTTATAAAACGTTTTAATATTTCGAGTTGAACTTGAACAATCGACTGGTATGGCTTTGACGTTGTTTTGATTACAGCGATGGGTTACATATATACGCAGGCCCGCCTGGCCCGTTGCGCGCCTTCGTCATTCGCGACGAGACTTGGGCGAGCGGTTATAGCAAGTTCGATTATATTTGTTCCTTATTACAACGTTACTTCTAACAAGTAATAGTCATTAATAGTTTGCTTTCAGCTTCCATTCACACATTGTCGTGCGTTATAGCGTACGTGTCTCTTTGACGATTTGCAATTAAATAGAGATTGATAATATTCTGTATATAGAGGTAAAGATATAAGTGCAAAGGTTCTTCTTTAATCGTGAAACTATTCATGTAGCATTTGATGGTTGACGAAAAGTTTAATTCGTTGAATAAACTTTTAAGGCTGGAGTGTATTTTACACCCCACACGAGTATAAAAGTAATTAAATATTATACGGTTAACATTATCATTTAGCGACTTGTTTCTTTATTCTCGATAATAGATTCGATAAGCCGTGACACGATGCGTTATTGCATAACGCGCGTTTAAAATAATTAAAATTTTTTAATTTCATTAAGCCACAACGTGTCATAGAATGTATTGAAGAAGCAGGTATATTTAATTGATTGAACACGCGGAGATGCGCACATTGCGCACTATGACACATATCGTAACGCGTTTCAACGCGGGCGTGGAAAAACGAAAAATAAGATCATTATTCGTGCGGCGAAATTTAAACGGGAAAGTAATGAACCGCTCTGCGTGAGGCCTTGGACGACGCGCGCGCGTACGGCGTGTTGTGTTTACACAAGGTCGCCGCGCTATTATTCGTGGGTTCGTTATCATTCGCTTAGCGAGGCTCGGAAAAGCAAGTACGGTGCGAGCCGCTTCTCGTCACATTATCGTTACTCTTCCGAAATGGAATCATTTTCCATAAATAGTTAATTAAAATTAGTTTGCGAATTAATTAGTCCCTAGAATTAACGAATCGCGAGCGTATAGACAAGACTTTATATATTTGTTCATTTAGTATTTAAAGGAACTCGAAATCTCTCGACGTTCTGCTGATTTAAATGTAATTTGATCGCTATTTTCTGATTGAGAGACGATACGAATCTCCCTGGGTCGAGCGATCGAATAAAGAAAAACCGTGTATTGACCGTTTGTTAATAATATGTGTATTTCACGGGATTTAATATGTACGCAGCTAGTATGCGTGCAATATTGAATTTTGATTGCTTGTGTATTTTTGGACAGTCCATCGCGTCTTAATAAATCATTAAATCGTTCCTATTAATTGCACCGTATCACGCTATATCAAAGGAAAGTTGCCGATACCATTTTCGAATTTTTAATATTTTTAATATTCGTCAATCGCATAACATAAATTCGGCGTTTTCACGTCAGTGATTTGTTTAAAATGCGTAATGCGCGAAGGTTGCTCGATCGAAATCTGTCGCCATACGAAGCGGTCAGCCGTGCGGCCGCATTTCCGAATTACACATTCCGTGGATTTTTAAATTTCAACTTCACAATTCGCGCACCTGTTCAATCGCCCGAAAATTCAAACGCCGCAGCCGGGAAAATGCCACATGATTGACATATTTCGGTAATTGGTGCGCGAATAATCATAGTTAATCGAATTTTCGTGAGTGTCACGTCATACTGTGTGAGTGCTATAAACGAGCAGCAACGAAGCAGCGACGAGGAGCTACAGAAGAGGAGGAGGAGGAGGAGAACGACGAAAAGACGGGGCATCGTATCGGCGGTGAATAAAATGTTAAATTGTCGCATTATATAATTTAAAAAATTCGAGTAGCGCGGAAAGACTCGTGATTTTACCTTTTTCTTTTTTCCCCGACTTTATTTAAATCGAGGAGAGTTGGAGCTAAATTTCTGGGTCCGAAAGCGCGGAATTCGCAAACATAATTTAGCAGTGCTTGGGAAGCGTCGAAATTATCGACCGTTACCTTTCGCGTTTGCGAGAGGAATCTCTGGTACGCCGACTCCGCATAGTTTGGCACGGAGTTTGCAGCTCGTTCGCAGTTAGCCACCATCGTATATATTCGCGGAGCGAGCGAGGTATCCGCGCGCGTAAACAGGCTCCGTTGAACCGGCGCGGCGTGGCGAGAGACGAAATCGTTACTTTACGATCCGGAAGTATCCGGAAGTATCGGCGATCGCATCAATTTCCGCTCCAACTTGCATCGCCTCGCTCCCCTCGCTCTTCCTCCAAACCGATTGAGATGAACCGAACTTTGTACGATCGCGCGCTCGTTTCTCTAATGGAAACCGTGGAAACCGTAGAAAGGAGATTTAAGAGAAACAGTGCGACAAAATCGTGGATGAAACGACGCTTTGGTCTTGCTCGGCTCGAGTTTTAGTTAAATAACACGATTATATTGGCGAATTCAACCTAAGAAGGAACCTAAGGCGCGTACATCTACCGAAAGACACAGAGCCGTTACTATGTAACTTTAATTGCGTTCAAAACGGGTAGATCATTGATAATCCGACCTCCGCTTAACGCGACAGCTCGAATCGGCTTGATGTGCGTTCTCGAGGCAAAAGTCACGTGGGAAATACATTTTTTTATCCAGGGGCAATTAATACGGACTTTTACGGGCTGTTTATCTGCGCGGATAATTGTTTCGTTCGCGGTGGGATAAACGGCGGGAAAAGTCGCGGGTGTGATGGGTTTTACGGCTGACCTGGCAATTTTCGAACGACTAAACTTCAAGCGCCGGCGCGACCGCAAAGTTTCGTTATTTATAGGCCAACCTGAGTTCTCTCGTCTGGGGTACGTTCACCGCAGCCAGATTCCAGCGTTTATTATGTTACGCGACGCGTGCGGTTAGGTGCTATATGTTATGCGAAGAAATTCGCGCGACTGAATCTATTCACGCATGTGGGCCGCGTATCGACGCCGACGAAATTACATTTTTGGATACCGTAAACGTGATATCCGATATTTCGATTTGAATTTCACAGGACAGTCAGGGGATTATCGTCGCGAGGATTTCATCTGTAATCTTGGCATCGCATCGCTAATCTTTCGCGATTTTTTTCAAATATTTTCCATACGATGCAAAAAAACTGTTTTTTATATTACGTAGAACAAATTATTATATTTTATATGACAGTACAAGCTTTCCATTAGAGCAAAAAAGAGAGTTATATTTATATGGGAAAGATTATTTTGCCGAAGGGTGACCCTTTTTAGAAATCTTATCATCGATGTATCATGGTTTATTTAAAATTTTGGCAATGACGTGGAAGATGATCTGTATCTGTGCTTCATTGGAGAAGCTTTTTCTAGATAGATGACGACGACGTGTATAAATATAAACTAGTGACGGGATAGTTACGCGCGACATTTTTGCTAAGTCCACGCTTGTATTCTGATTCGCTTTTCATTTATAGAATATTAGTAAAACAATCGCATTGGGATGTTTATTTTTATATATTATTCTTAAAGTCATAATCTTTTATGTATTATATGATAAATTATTCATATTACTAACACAAAGAGCATAAATTATGCATGTGATATGTAATGTTACTGTTAATGAATCCGGAAGTAATAAAACAATAGTGACGTTAAACGACATGATCATAAAATATTATTATGCCGGCCTCAAGGGAAGTTAGGGAGTGTTGCAGCCGTTTATGACACTCATAAAGGATACGACATTGAACTTAACTCGTTAATAACTTCCGGTTGTGATTGAAACGAGCGTAAACATACGTCGTACAAAATAGCTAACGTGTTAATAGGTCTCGCAATGGCATTTATTCATTAAAAAAAAAAAAATGCAAAATATGTGTTAAATAACGAATAAAAACAAATTAATTTAACTAAAATGGAGTTAAAATAATATTGTTTTGTGTGTTAAAATAATAAATTTCGATATACACGGTAGTTAAAAATAACAAAATGTTATTTAACTTAAGGTACTGGTTCAAATTTCATCCTTTAATATTTAACAGTGATATTAAAACATGATAATTAATTCTGTCATCGACTATTATACTGTCACGTGGAAACAATAATCTTTGTTTCATATAGATTAAAATAACTTGGAAGAGACGGAGGGATAAATTGGTTAACAGATTCGCGAGACTGTCTCGCGGTAATTTCCTGTTACAACTCGCCACGTGTCAAATTTTTATGTAGACTGTGATGGATTACGAAGGGTGGATCTATAATATTAAATGAAGTGTGTGCATGAGGATCATGCGGTGCAATCAGTAAGTAACGAGTCGAAAAGCCGCAAGGTGATCAATCATAACATTTTATGAAAAGCGTTAACTTAAAAAAATAAGCAAAAGATAAATCATTAAATATAATTAAGCTAATTTTGAAACATGATACGGTACGCCGCCGCGTTTTCTTATTGCAGTCGTGCAATTTTACACATGCCTGTCTAGCAAATGTTTTTGTTGGCGTTGCACTGTAAATTTTAGGACCTAACGCTTTCGAAAGAAGTGTCGACTTCTAAATTTGTTCAGAGGTCCCGAATGTAATGTTTTTAGCTTTGTTTATCTTTTTTTATTCAAACAGCAAAATTTATTTACAATTTACTAATTTATTCGAGCGAAACTGTTGGCGCAACTATACGAAATCGGTTAGCAGAGACTTACCTAGAATGCAAGACGTAAGAAGAATTCGGAAGACAAACTTCTTCATGGTATGAAAATCTCCGATAGCGCTGGTGCGTAAACCTCGATCTCGGCGGCACGTTGAATCGGGATAAAAAGAGCGACGCGATTTAACACATCAAAAACACGCGTTCTTATCTATATTTAGACCGCACTTCAGTAATAGCGTCGGTTGTACCGAGGAAGACCGGTGCTGGAGAACAGTGAAGACTGTTTGCCGCGGCACACCGAAGCAATGGTGTACTCTTCCGGTCTCGTTATATCAGCTGTATGCCATGCAATCGGGAGCCAATTTTGCAGCCAAAATCGCAGGCAATTCTTAATCCAATTCTTAATTTATTCTTTTGCGGCGAATTTTCTTTTATTGTACTTTATATTTTATATAAATTAAACTGGATCATTGATCATTTCCATCGGTCTGTTAGTTTTTCACGAAATTGACACGAAAAACGCCGTTCTTGCCGCGTGAAGTGTTTTCGAGCGGGAAATCTCTTGATCACAAATAAAAAGTCAAATTGATTCGAAGTGATTAATACAGAAACATTCGCGATTAGACATTATCCGTGCCGCGGTTACCGAATGTAAACGCTTTCGAAGCGATGCGCGACACGAGGGAGACTGATCGCGCCCGACTCTAATTTTCTGTCTCTTCCTCCTCCTCACTTCTTCCCGCTAGACCGCCAAGTACAGCTACGGAGGTGGTAGTGCCTCTTTGAAAATTCACAGTATTTTTTATATGCTTCCGCAGGATTATAACATAAAGTGGAAAGCAGTATTACTGACGGAAAGATATTAATAAAATGTATCTCGAAGATAAATAAGTGAAATAGAGAATTCGCAAATTTTATAAATGCTGCAGTGGTTAATTAAATTTCAATTTCTTATTTACACTATACCAGTACAGTTATAGCTGCCATGGCATACATTTATCAAAGAAATGAAAAATTTTATAGATTGCACAGCTACAGTGAAGCAAAATTGTTTGTTTTGTTACAATTCGCGTTATCAAAAATGTGGATCTTACTTTAATTCAATAAACAATGTACATTTTAATTATTGACCAGTAACATATCGTGCAGATGAATTGATAGCGATTCAATGCTTTAAAAATAATTTTTTAAATACATTTTGAAATTAATCAGTAAAAATGGAGTTATTCTAAATTTACAGGCGATCTTAAGTTTTCCGAGTAATCATTTGGTTAATAAAAATCTACTTAATAAGGTATTATTATGAGAATTCGTTAAAGGATGGTAACTTAGAAGATTATGCCCGATATTCACAGTCTCACACACACAGATCTCATATACTTATAAGATCGTCTTAAATTTATCTTTAGATATTCCGTGGCCAATGAAACGAGTCGTTCAGTATCTATATAAAGATAAACTTAAGACGACTTAAATATAAGATCTGACTATGAATGCTGGCCTGTGTATTATTTCACGATCGATAAATAAATCTCGATGCAGCATTGCTTTTAAATAACGCAATCGGTGATAATTTCCCAAGATATAATTTTTTATTATATTTAAAATTACGCTTATTTTAAAAAGTAAACGAAATTCGTGAAGTTTTTACATCATGCTTATAAAACTATTGTATATATTTAATTATATCTGCCGTCAGTCAATACTGATTCTTAAAATTGAAGTAAATTTCTGGAGAATGGAAATTAATACTAAAATGTGCAATATAACGTATTATCAATATTTATTTATTTCACTGATCATGACAAAGTAATAATTACGTAAAGCTGTTAAAAGTAAAACCCCGTTATCACTAGAGTATATATTATATTTACAAGTATAGTTTGCATCTCTCTCTCTGACAAAACCTTTTATATGACATATTTTTTCTCTTCTTTAATATACATATATATCTATATATACATATATACATATGTGTGTGTATGTATATATAAGTATATATATATATTTATATATATCGGATTCAATATGTATATATGTATTTCCTCCGTGGCGCGTAATCCTCGCTCATCGTACAAAGATCAGGCGAGTAAAGCTAAGGTTTCGTTTTTGTGTTCTCTTTCCCTCTCTCTCGTTTATCACTCAACTAAACAAACTGTAAGCGCCATAAGAAAAGATTATTGTACCCAAAACCCCGTTCAGTGAAGTAGTCCAAGTAAAATACTCTAGTTAACAATAAATTATTAAATATCTATTCACAAATGTATGTATAGGCTATCATTATTACTATCATCATCGTCGCCGGACACTGCCATTCTCGCCGTTATTCTCGATGTCATTATCACTATTTTTTACATACACACCGCCTAGGGCTTACTGTACTTGTGTGTGTTATCAATGTGGGGGCTGGAAGTTTGCGAGATTTTATGGTGAATTTTAAGAATCGTGGAGTATCGAGAGATGACAGTAATCTGTGAATCGCTATAAATATCCACGGTATACTTTATCACAAGTAACCATCGACACTATAAAAGTTCATCATAAAATCTGATTAATTTTTGATAATTCATTCCAGTTATTAACAACGGATGATTATCTGTGATACCAAATGGATCTTGCGTTACGAAATGAATTTTCTCGCTGATGAGAGATTCCTCTCGGATGAGATATTGTACATCGTTTTGTGAATTATCTCGAGCGAGTTACACCGATGGTTAACTAATCGTAATTCTACGGTAGTCAGTATGCAGAAAATAGTCTGCGCATAGAATATATAAAGATACTATTTTAAATGTAATGTCATTTGATGTTTCGGGTTTTATCCCTTTCTGAATCATATTCTTATATGTTATGATACAATTAGAAAATAAAAGTTTAATCGGCAACGATTGATGTTGACCAATTTGGTGCAACTCTTCTCTATAGATTCTCTTAACATAGATGCTTGCTAAAATTGCATTGACATCTAACAAGCATCATGATAGAACCTCTTGGAGGTTCGACGTAAAACGAAAACGACAACATGATTATTATCAACTGTCACGCTTTGAAATTCAATGCATATAATCGCGCAAATTATTTCGCTAACCATTTCTCTTCATTCGGACGCGGGGTGAATGTTTACACACGCTGAATGGTTACACGCGTTTGTGCGCGTGTATATGTTATAATATAAATCCTATTTGTCTGTCTATTTGTGTGTGTGTGTGTGTGTGTGTGTGTGTGTGTGTGTGTGTATTTTCTATTTCGCGCTTGAAGATGATGTTTCGAAGTCTCGCCTTTGGAACGTCATCTTACCGGAAAACGTAGCGCGATAACTCTGCACTATATGTATACATTAAGTAACTTTCCGGCCGTTCTTATCATCGACGAGTGCGATGCTGATTGTTCGGAAATTCATTAAGAGACACCATGCAGGGTCAAATTTACTGGGAGGAGAATATGCTTTACAAAAGCTCATTCACGAGATGGATTCGTAAAAAATTGGAGTCTTCTTGCGATAAAAATGGTCGTTATGATTATCACCAAAAAGATCTCCTGCAAGTGTAATTACAATCGTAAGTTCGACCCTGAACACCGCGAGAACGCGTGTTCTCTTTGAGATATTATGCTACTGCTTCTAATTGTTTGTCGCTGGATATTGTAGAATCCAATTTGGACGAATCGATTTTTACATTCGGTATAAGCGCTATACAATTATATGGTGTTTCTTCTACAATCCCACTCTATACCTCGCACTCCTCGTATAGAATATGACTTTCTTGTAATCTTTATATACACGTCTCTACCTTTCATTATAGACTTTGCTAGTTAATCGCCCGCTAGTTAACCGTTTTACAACTACGATATTCGACTGACTTGCAATGATGATCGCCATCGTTGCGAACGCGCGACCGCATTCGTATATTCGGTCTGTGCACACATCCTCTTTCCTCTTTATTTCATTCTATTTCGATTAGCTCGCCATACAAAAAGCACGCACGCTCGCACCGCAATCGTGAGAATGACAGTTTGGTTTGTGTACTTTCTCCTCTTTTCCTTTGTTAAAAAATTCTGGAGAGATGAAATTGGGAGAGATTGGGACTCGAGGATAGCAAAATTGTTGGATAGTCAAAATCTTTTTGAGGGACATCGATAAAAAACGGGGAAAGAGACGCGTGTTAAATGTTAGTGTTACAAAACGTTGTCGGGATGTTTTTTCTTTTTAAAACGGTGGTTCGACAATTTATCGCTATTTTCCTCTTTTCTTTTTTTCTTTCATTTCTTTTTTTTTTTTTTTTTTTTTTGATTGACTGACAGTTTCATTTCCGAAGTTTTACAAAACAAGTTTATATCGATGCTTGCTGTCGACGTAAAACTTATCCTCATTCGTCATATTATATGAAAACAATTCACGCATAGTTTCAATTAACAACGACAATCCATTGAATTCGTACGCAGTGTAACTCGTCAAAATTTAACGCTCGAAAGAATATTGACAGAGATACTTAATATTGTACATAAACAAACATATTAACAACAATTTGATTTATTAATTCAATCAATGTTTTTCTTTTCTAATCTATATAATGTATCACATATTTTATATGTGATAAAATTCCCAGTCTTAATAACGCTTCTTTCTGGTAGAGTTACATGTGCGTCCAGAGTAACTATTGACGAAAAAGAAAGGAACGCGGCTGTTACCGACTACCCTGCCGTGATCTTTAGAGAATGTTAAAAATGTTAACGTTACGAATATAAATTTAAGTGTAAAGTAGATCGCTTTGCGCTGTGGTTGGGGAAAGAAATAGGCGAAACGTTCACATTCTCGCAACATGTTTTCCTATTTTCATAGCTCTCTCTCTCTTGCTCGTTCTCTCACTCTCACTTTCCTTATTTTTGCTATTTACAAACGTGTGGCTTAAATAACATTCGTTAACATTTTCATTCTGCTCTTTCTCACTCTCATTCTCCTCGCGCTCTTTCTTTCTCTCACTCTCTCTCTTACTCTCTGACTTTTTTTCTCTCTTTCGTTTACCTAAAATAATTATTTTAATTTAAAATGTATTCGAATCGCTCTAAGCGCGAATCGAAGGGCAGACTAATTCTTCTTCGTTCTCTTCATTAATTCGCAGTTTTTATTGTGTTACACAATGGGTCAAAATCGGAATAGGTCGCGTAACGCTGTTTATACAAATAACATCTTTATTATCATCAAGTTAACGCTTTTAGGATAACGAATAAAGGAAAATAGAGGAACAAAAATGCAGTTGCATTTTTGTTTCGTCGCATATATTTTTTCGCAATCGATATAATATTAAGTATAGAAAGAATTGACGGAAAGAGCGCCTCGTTAATTCGAAGTGAATTTCTTCAGTCTTTTGTCACTATTTAATTCTGATCCACTGTGTATCGTCGTATTATATATATAATATATATATCTCTCTGTCGGTTCCATCACTGCCAAACGAGAATTGTCAGTATCATTCAATCTGTTGTGAACTTGTCTGGCTTATAAAGAGGGAGCTGGGCGGTACAGAGGATTGCCCTTGATAGGAAGCACATGAGCCTCGGAGTTAAATACCCAGTCGTCAAGACTTATGAGATCGTCGTCGCTGAAGAGCAAATAGAGATACTGGAAAAAGATAAAATATTTTCACATTTTATATTTTTATATACCTATACATATTATTATATTTCATAATATATCTACGTATATTTTTGTTAACTCTCTTCTCTTCTTCTCGCGTCACGATTAAATCTTAAATAATATTCTTTATTGGAATGTTTCCTTATCGAATATCATATCTATTTCTTTTTTGTCTCTATAATGCTTATTAAAAAAAATTTCGTTATATTATAAAAGTTAGTTTGCAGAAAAAAAATATATAAATTAGATGAGAAATAAAAAAGAATTGTAGTCAATTGTAAAATATAATCAATCAAATCATATTATGTTTCATATGTTAAATGTAAATTTGCGAGATACCGCTGTTGTCGAAAAGGTGTAAATATTAAACGTTTAAGTTCTTTCGGTCTTTACCAGAGGTAGCGTAAACCAAGTCGAAACGATGCTTCGTTTCCCCTTACCTTCAATGTTTCAGCAAAGAAGTAACTTTGTTGGACGTCGTCTTTCGCCGAGTCGACTAGGTAAACATTGTTAAGCCCCGTGAATCCTCCGGGAACCCGACAATGCTTTTCCAATGCTTGAACCGCCTCCCAACCCCACTCGCGATATTTTGGATCCTTTGTTAACCGCCACATTACGAAGTAGGATTCGAAGGTCTGCGGGGAAGTATATCTCGTTTTATCTCATCCAGTAAATTTTACCGATTCTTACAAAAAAATGGAAGCTAAGAAAAATTAGTTTTCTATATGTATTTTATAATTTCTGTTGTTTTACAAACTTAATAACTAAAATAAATAAATTTAATACTTAATAATTTAAAAAAATATGCCATAAATATGAAGTAGTTAAATCTATATAGGCACATTATGTCTCTTCGCGGTTAAAAATAATTTCAAATAGTAAAATAATTTTTTGGTGTGACAAACTCTCTCTCGGAGGAGGAGGAGGAGGAATGTAGTCGTGATAGAAACGCTTTATCAATTCGCGCTAGTTTTGCTTTCAAATGAAAACGCGGGTGACTTACCTCCGGTCGTAGAATGTAATATTTTTCGCCATTCTTTAAGCTTCTGGCCTCGTTGCCTTCGATAAAGTGGAAAGCTTCAGGGCCGAGTTTCGTAGCGCTTCTGTCATATGATTCGTGACACGTGTTGGTCAAACCAGCGGCGATGTTCATGTATTTGTCAGACAACTCGTTTTCCAGAGTTTTAGCGCCCAGAGCAAACATACCGCCTACAAAGCAATGATAACGTTATTGACAAATTTCTGTCTTTTTTTTGTTGAATCGGTCGCTTTTTACATCGAGATATAAAGAAATAAAATAACTCTTGCGATAATAAAATAATTTTGCTTCATAGAGGAAGCTTTGTGATGGTGAAAAAAATTTTTTTCGAGATTTTGATGGAAATAGGTTTAGAATGTTCCAAAATGTCGAGAAATCATACTAGTAGAAAATGTCCGAAAGTATTTTATATTTAATGTCATAAACTTGAACGGTTAATCGAGTAACGGAGTATTTATAATTAGATTATTTAACGGCGCGTGTATTCGAGTATCGACATCGCTCGAGCTTGACGATTACGATGTAAAAATAATTATGATGTTAAAAACTTACCGGCGAAGCAAGCTAAATGACCCATTTTGTGCTCGAGCCTGTCGTATTTTAAATCCGACACGTACACAAGTTTGCCAGGTGATGTCTTGATCATGTGCTCAGTTATAGCGGATACAGCATCGTCGTACATTTCACGTGCCTCGACGTCGTCCTTGCCCGACTGGATCCAAGCTTTCAGTAGGTACTCATAAAAACTGTCACCGAGTCCACCGAGCGACATATGATCTGCAATTCCCACGAAAATATTTCTGTCGTAAATAAATTTCATGCGAATTCCAAGAGGGTTCACGACACATATTTCTCTGGAAATCATTAAGCCAGGCCCGCTATACATCTCTTTTTCATATTATATAAATTCTTTAACAAATTTAGTTTCTGATGTAATTTCTGGATGAATATGTTAGGCCGCTAAAAGCTTTTGCATTATGCACAATTAGACGATAAGAGGTTTTCAAGTTGATAAAAGAGAAACTTTACTTATTGTTAGATTTGATTAAAGAATAAAGGAATGAAAGGAAAATATGGAGAATCTAAAGTATTATGTGTCGTCTTATATTATATGCTCTTCAGATTAAAGAAAGACATGCTGTGCATATATCTTTTGAAATATCAAAGTTAATTGACAATTAGATAAATTTATGTAATCGGTATAATAATTTGTATTAGTATCGATATATTTGATGAAGTAAATTATCCGTAAATTAATTTATCCTGCATAACAGTTGAGTCTTATTGTTAGAAAGTTTGATCTTCTCTTAGATCTTAATAAGATAATCAATATGATTCATGTAGATATTAAAAGATAAAAAACGAGCGTACTTCGGCACGCGTTATATCAAAGAAAGTTTTAGAATACAAATAAGATTTGCTTTCCCCCATTCAAAAATCTCTAGTGCGCCAATTGCTCTTATTTTCCATTCCTTTCACGTTGAAGCGAAATTAAAGGTTTGCGGACGACTCGTTTTGCAAGATAAAACGGCTGTTCGACTGCCTTAAAAGAGATACCGCTTTAAAACGGATAGCAACGGTAATCGCTACGAGATAACGGAATGCTGGAAGAATCTTTTCCCCGCGGAAAAGAGGGGTTTGTTCTCCGCGCTCTGCAGGTCTACTTCGATCTCACGTTTGAGGCGGGCGAAACAAAGGGCACATTTCTTGATATCTACCGGGTTAATTCCTAGGTGCCTTGGGCTAGCTAAGAGCACGGTTTCCATTTTATGTGAGGTTTTGCGATGAAAGGACGTACGGATTCGCTTTATCTCTCTGATCACTATTTCCTCGGGAACATGGTAAGAACGTTATCGTGCAAAAATGCACGAAGGTCCAGTCACATGAGCTTAAGCTTTCAACGAATGTTAATTATAATTTGAAGATGACAAATTACACCGAAAAAGAAAAAGTGTTAAATCAAGACTCATATTCTTGTACATATAAGCAAGAATCTATAATCTTGAAGTGAGATATAAATTACGTTAAACAAAGAAAACTTGTTTTATATAATTTAATCAAAAAAAGAAAGTTGAAATAAAAATTCTTATAATCTCTATCTTATCTCTAAGAAGATTATAGATTCTTGCGTATATACAAGAACATGAGTCTTGATTTAACACTTCTTTTTTTGTGTACTTTTTTTGAACACTGATTTTTATTCACAAAGAGACAACACGTCATATCTTCTTGTAAAAAGAGTCAATAATATATTGATTTTTATTGTTATACATTCAGAAAAAGAAGTGCTCGAACAAACAAGATTGATGATGTTCTCATTCAGAAAGATATAAAGGTCTCGCCAAACAAATTGTGTATTAATGTGATAATAAATTTAGCCAGTAAAGTCGCATTAAATAATGACAATTATTATAGTAGTACGTAGTACAATACTTGTCGTATTAATTATATGAATTATATGAATTGTTCGGTTCATTATACAGAGTGTCTGATAATGAACCGTGCCACCTCTCGTGGGCAGGTAGTGGATTAAACTGAATAGAAAAGTCCCTTTATCGTTTTATGAGTTTCTCAGTAATTAACGAGAGATTAATGAATAAAGATCCGCAAATGAGCATCCAATTCAGCGACAAGAAACGGTAATTATCTCTCAGACACCCTGTATATTTATTTAAATACGTTTTGGTAACATCGAAACGTCAGTTTTCTTCATTCGAGCAATGCTTTTTTTCTTTTTGTGTACTTATTTGGAGTACCAGTACGGGGCTAGAGCGAAACCGTGAAAAATGTGGGAAGGATATGTGGCGATGAGGCTAGATACCGAACGGTTTGGATGATATATATCCCCGAGGATCTCGTCGTACGTGCAATGAGAAGGTACGCAGGCGCGGGGGATTTAGGACCCGAGGCAGAGGATGATAAATGCGATATTCAAGATCGAAGACGGCGCCGACACCCGCGTCGACGCCGGCCGCGGAGCATCTTTTCGCGAGGCGACATGAGCCGAGGTTTGCGATGTGAAATGGTAAAAAAAAAAACGAAGTGATCGAAATCACACGGATTCTCCACTTCGCGACTGTGCGAAAACTATTGTAGCGGTGTAATCGATAGCCGTCAGATTAAAAATCTATCACGTGCAATGTTTCGTGCAAATACGCGCCCGAAGATTTATTAAATGTAAAATTATAGTAATAAGTCACCGGATATTACATTTATAATATTTATTTTGATTCAAAATTGCCCAGCCGAAGACATTCAACGATTTTCTTTTTGGAGACTTTGATCGTGAATTCATATGAACGTGAAAATGTTGCTGCCAGATGTCTATGTGAAAATAGTAGTAATGAGTAAAGAGAAAACAATTAATTCTGTCATTCTGTGATGTAGAAACGGATGTACAAAGCGTAGGGATGACAGAAAAGAAATTTTTTACATTTTCAAAATGTATTTCTTTCCATTAAATGATTAAAGGATTCGTAAATAATTTTCTGAGCAAAAATTACGTTTACACGCTCGGGTATGCATGTATCACTCGTTTGCTGCAACAATGAGATAACTCAGAAACAAAAGTTTTCCAGAAAATGAGAGTTGAAATGTTTTGAATCATTAAAATTTTGTAATATCAATTTTAAACGCAATTTGTGGTGTAATAACTGACCGTAAAGGAACAAAAGTACCTATATATTAGCTCTTTAGTCAGTGCATTGAATTCTCATCACTCTTTTGCAAACAACGAAAAAATGACAATTTTTAAGTTGCGTTGTGGTTGTAGGAAATTGGAGCGGAGCGATATGTTTACGAATATTAATTAAAAAAATATAGGAGGTAAATATATAAATATAACGCAGATTGTTGAGATTCTACTTACGTTGACCCCATTTTCCTGTCCTCGGATGGATATAATTCGGATATAGACCCTTCGGTTTGTCTAGACTCTTGAGGACCTTCCTTACGTTCTCAACTTTGCTCTTGAACACTGGATTATTCGTTATATCGCTCAAGTAGGTAAACTCAAGATGCATCGTCCCGATTTCGGATAAAATACTGCAGCCGCTGCTCGCCCAACCGTAATTCTTGCTGGCCTGAAAAATAAGCGCAAGTTTCTAGCTAGAACACACACATTGCGAGATATAAAATGTTCAAAGTAATAAACGGGTAGGTCAAGTATGTGTAACATTACACAGAGAGAATTTTCTCGCAGAATTTACCCTGAAAATCATGGTAGTCCTGGGACAACATGTGTATCACGAAGAATTTTATGCGAGATATTCTGCTTAATATCTACCATAATAAAAAATATTAATATCTATTACAATAAAATATAAAATGTGTTTGATTAATTTTACTAAAATATATAGTAAAATTTCAATAATTTTTATTACGTTGTTTGTAAAATGTCTTTTGTATATTTCAAAAATTCCTATCGTTACCGATAATATTTGATCGGTTCCCAAGTTTGTAGTGAATTTAACGGTAAAATATTACGAAAAATTCTCTACGTGTACTAACATTCAAGTAATATTCTAGAAAATTACAATATTTAGACAGTAATAAAGTAATATGAGCATTTTGTTATAAAAAACAAGAGAGAAAAAACGGTATAAATAAAACATGGGACGTCGCCCTCAGTCGCGTCTCGCGTCGCGTCGCGTCGTGTCGCGCGGCTTTAGAATGAAGTATGAAAAGTCGCCGTCGTTTTCGAAACACGCGGATAAAAAGGATACGATGAGCGGACCCTAAATCGAGCCGCGACGTGTTTATTGCGTATATCGTATTTAAATCATGTTTTGATATTTGGCGGTCGTGGCGTAGACACAGAGCGTTCATAAATCGATGATTTAATTGCAGTTGTTCAAAATAATCGCCTCTCGCAGTCAGTAAAGCAGCGATCGTATTCTTTTCGGTTGGCATGTTCCGCGGATATATTTCTCTTTGACCTTGATTCATACATTTATTCAATTACGCACTCTTACGTCGCTTATATTGCAATACGTAAAAGTATACGTAATGTCGACATTATATTCGTTTGTTCAAAGTGCGAAAAGTACGGGTAATGGGAGCAGCAAGTGTAGCGTCTATCGCGACAGTTGCTCCTGGCGTTTGACGAGTGGCGCGAGCAGTGGCAAGTGAAGTTGGCCGCGCGATTTACGAAATTCTCTCCGCCATGTTCGACTCATACTCGATACTCGCTCGCTCGTCGCATCTACCTGCGGGACGTCCACGGGTGTCAAGGCGAATCGTAGCGTCTCCGCCGTAATTCCGTTGCCGTGTAATTAAGTCGCGTCGCGAGATTAATATACCGGGAGTGCCGTGCGAAGTGTTGAAAGTATCGCGCGATCATAAACGACGATATCGTTGATGTGAACGTCGCCGCGTCGTGAGTCGCGAGTCGCGAGTGAGTGCGCCGACGACGGAGGCCGGACGGAGGACGGAGATGCGACAACGGATCAACGGAGGAGAACCTGGAGGATCGAGGAGAGGAGGAGGGGGCCTGGGAGGCATCGGGCGACGGCGGAGCGACCGTGGGGTGAGTAGTTGAATTGTTATTCGTCCTGTCACTCTTGTCAGTCCTGCGGCGGAATTAGCTACTTTCTCAAGCGCAACTTGATTCGCCCATTACCACGATACACTCATTACTCGTACGAGTCGTACGATATCGTTCGAGGTTCTACTCCGACGCAATTTCGCAATTACGGAGTTCGATCTTCGGTACATATGTAAAAAAAGAGACGTCGATCGTGAATGTCGTATCTCTCTTATTCGCACGGTCGTAATTATATCCTTTATATATTGATTATCTTGGACACCTGCTTTAATGTAAAAACGTTTCTATGTTACAGATCAACGCAGGGTTACAACTTACAACTCCGCTGTTGCGCATCGGCCGGTGAGTTATTTTTTATTTCGATATCGAGAGGCAATGGATTTGTAAAAATTATATATTACAGACGTAAATAAAATGTATCTACACTGAGAAAAAAAATATTTTAATAAAAAAAAAATATTTATTAGGTGGCTCCTAATAGCATATTTATTCTTTTTACACATATTTATTTAGAATTAGATATTTTTATTTCAATTAAATTTCTTTTTATTTATTTCAATTTATTTCTATTAAATTTCAATTAAATTATTTCAATTAAATAAAAACATCTAATTCTAAATAAATATGTGTAAAAAGTAAGTAAATATGCTATTAGGAGCCACCCAATAAATATTTTTTTTTATTAAAATATTTTTTTTCTCAGTGTATGAGAAATGAGATATAAGAGAATCACGAATAGTCTTTTTCATAATTATTAGACATTACATCGAAATTTTTATTTAAATAATATAGCGGAGCAAGTTAGAAACTTGCACATTGCTTCCTCATAATTACTGCAGATTGTTAGCATTGTTCCCATTCAAAGCCAGTTTGTTTTTAAAGTACAACATAATTATTAACATAAAATAGTATGGCTTTCTCGTAGAGGAAGCTTTATGAGCGAAATAAAATGACGAGGAAGTAATGTGCAAGTTTCTGATCCACTAAATTTTTTCTTCGATGTTTCTTGAAAGTATGCAAATTTAAAAATTTGCACATATTAATTCTCATAATAAGTCTAACGTATTAGAGAAATCTGGAATGTAGTTCCAATTTATATTTTGCAAAGAGAATTTATTTGAGTATATCCATTTCTTTAGAACTTATGAAAAGCAAATAGATCGTAATGCAAACGGTATAATCCACGAGAGCAGGCAGAATATGCTAATTCTTTATGAGTAGGATCATGATATTAAAAGAATAATACGGAAAATTTGTAGAATAAAATCCGATGCGGTTTTAAGTAATCAAAAGCCATTGTTGAAGCGTCTGAAGAAACGAAGAGGCAATCTGTTCGTCGGATATCGCCCGACGAATACTGTAACGAGGATTTGGATAGATGGAGTTCGGGTGGGAAAAGCATAATCGCTTTATAATTTAATCTAACCAATTAACTCCTGCCCGCTATAATTTCATCGCGGTAAGATAGACGAGTGTGTGCGTGCGACGTAGCGTTTGCATGTCTTATGTTGTTAAAGGGAAAGAGAGAATTGAAATTTCTCATTGCTACAAGTACACGTAGCACTCGTAGCAAGTTGTTAAATGTATTATGAAAAAAATGTTACGTATATGATTGTAACATGCACAACAAGCGACACATTTTTGCAACTTTTATTGCTTCATATATGCGATTAGATATTTAAATTGATAGCTGCAAGAGCATTGAAAAAAAATACCACTGCGTGTTATTTTTTTCATGTATGAAAGGGAACGGATAGCAAAAGAATGCGCTTCGAGTAAAACGGGCCAGACAGGATAATAAAATATATGAAATTTTTGGAACCAACAAACATTTTTCATCATTCCTTTTCTTTCACGCCATTCCAAATTAATGGAAAATTATGACGTTATGGTGCGGAGATAGACACTCGATAATTAGTCGCGCTCATTAAAAACGCTAATACGAATTATGAAGTCATCAAGGGGGTAGAGTCAATCGGCATATCTATCGTCGCGTCGTAATTAAATCAGAGTCCTTTTCATTTCTCGTTTTCTCGCACTCTCAGCACGTGTGCGCGCGAATTAATTCCTTCGATAAGACTGCATATCAGATTCGATTATTACTACACGCTATTTGCTTTCAATTTCCAGTTATAAATTATTTAGCTAAAATATATAAAACAATTTATAAAAGCACTTTAATTATAACGTTTTTTAATTCTCTTCTTCAGGCTGATCATAAAAAAATTTTCATTTTGTTTGCGACTGCTATTTTCGTTAATGAACATGTTCTTTTCAAATGAAATAATAGAGTAACAATAACAGCTTTTCTTTTATTGAAATTAATCGGCCGCTCTTTTACGGGAATGAGAATCTCTATTTATAAATAATTCTAGACAATCGTTTGACGTAATTTTGAATATTATTGATATATTATTGATATAAACGGATATAAAAAAGAGACAGTAACATATATCGTCGAACGGACATATCGTCCATCGTATAGGGGAAGCGAAAGGCCGTATCCGCCTCCTGTGGCCTCATTATCCATCCAATTAAGAATTTGCATATTAATCGCGCGCCGCTATTTCGACAGACTTGATGGAATCGTTTCAATTAAAGCGCAACATCATTGCCACATACGATGCTTAACAAGAAGTGCGCAAGAACGGAAACACCACGCCCTGGAGTAGCTTTTTTAAGTTATGCGGCCATGCGAACAAGGTGTAATTGTGTTTTGTATTTATACTGCGTGTTTCATTCATTAACAGATCAACGGATTGCTCAAAAACATATAAACATATACAACTCATTTTTATGACAGTTTCCTGATTAAAAATGTGATATATTACACATAGATTTGTTAAGCAATTTAACAAAATTCAGTAATAATATAATATTTCAAGAACTTTTTGTTTGCTATAAACAAGGCGATACACCAAAAATACATTTCATTAAAAATAAAATATCGAGATTAAATTAAAGAATATAGAGTTTCACAAAAACTCAAATCATTATATCTTCAGTAATCAGCAATTTAGATATGGAGTGATCTGTAGAGTAATCTTTAGATTTGCGTTGTTTAAATGCATTATCTAGATAATCTCGCTTTATATATAACTTGAAAATCTTTCTTTACTGAAAGTTTAATTATCAACTTTAATTATCAAGTTTTATCACAATTTTTAACTTTCAATATTAAATATCTTGGTAATAAAGGAACCATCTCGAGAAGTTTTTCTTTCGATTTGACTCCCAGACTTTTAATTTCAATCCCATTAAAATATACATATGATTTTAACACAACCTATATAAATTTATGATATTACATATCCGTGATTTCTTGTTTTATTCTTTTACCACGATCCCAGTTAATGAGTAGGCTCTTTTTTCGGGGAGAGAAACGAAGTTAATGTAATATCAAAGTACATCGAACCCATCTCGGCGCGTTGATGCGAGGCACATAGCGAGTTATGGCAACGAAAAGCCGCACTTACCCCGGTATGGAGGTTGATGAGGGAATGAGGAATTCCGGTTTCCGTCTGGAAGGCAGGCAGCATCCGTTCGCCGAGCTGCGCCGCCTTATCCCGGAACATCACGTCTCCCGTGAGAGCGTAACAGGCAAGCAGGCTTCCCATGAAACGAATATTCGTCTCAAACAGCGATATTTCGGAGTTCTGAAACAAAACGAGTAAAACGTTCGGATTAATAACGCGTTGGCCGTTTAATCGTGGATGGAAGAATTATCGTGGTATATAATATCGCGGGTCGCGCACATACACATACATACACGCATCCGTCATCTTCTCATATAATCGATTATTACAGTGGATATATAGGTACATACGTTTATTAACCTTTCCGTTCACATTGCAGCCATGTGGCTACGTATTATGAATTATTAAATAAAATATTACTGATGCGGTTTATATTTTTATATCTGCAGTAGATTGTATATTAGGTCCCATTAGCCTTATGGATATAATAGATGACCTGAAAGACTTTACGTACGTATTTTAATATGTATTTAAAACTTCCTATATTAACATATAGAGCACATCCTCGTTTTTCATTTAGCACCGTTATGATTAGGTGATTAAAGTTATTCTAAGTACAATATAATTATTACAATAAGAATTATAACTTATGGAATTATAATTGTTTTGACATATTTTAAATGCATTTTTACCAAAGGTGAAAAAGAGATTTTTATGTCTAACTTTGCAGTGCAAATTACTGTACACAGCTGTAATAAAAATACGTATAGAAAAATTCTTATACGTTTTCAAAGTGTCAAAATGTTTTTATGAAATGTTTTTATTTGTCATGTAAAATGTACAAAAAAATACAAACAAATATTTTTTGAATTGTTAAATAATTTAGGAATGAAAGAATTAGGCGAATAATATGTGAACAATTTTTAAATGCTCTACTTTTAAATTTGATTAATTACAAATAAACTTTCGTGAATATTCTTTGCACTAGAGACATTTGTAACTATTTCTCATTTAAGGGATAATAATCAATCAATTATTAAATAAACATTTTGCTTTTTCTAATAACAGTTTTTAATAAAAATTTAAAAATAATATAAAATAATATATATGCGATATATATATATATATATATATATATATATATATATACGTATATAAGTATTCCAAATAAATATAATTATTTGGCAAAATCCAATGAAATATTGTGTTTGAATAGATAGAAATGGAGATGAGGAGAGTATTTGTACACGTGTATGTGTTATGCCTATAAGATTTGTGGCATTGCAGTTTCATTCATCGTGTAGAAACTCAATCTGCGTCATCTACGCGATGTAAATACATGGATTGCACTATTCATGTAACAAGCGTTCTGTACAGTTATCAGTAACCTGAAACAGTAATATTTGAAAGAAAAATAAATAAAATATTTTTTCACAGTTTACATTCAAATAAATGATTTTTCGATAACGAAATTATATTACGATTTAATGGGTTTTAATATTTATAAATTCAACGCTACAATTAATTTTATTATTTCAATAACTTAATATCGTGATATAAAATAATATCTGCTTGAAAAAATAGTGATATTTCTTAATATGTAATAGATCATAACGGATCACTCATCGGTGATAATTCTGTTAAATTGTCATCAATGAGATAACAGATCTGTGGCATAAATCTAAGCGGAAGCTTGGTGGTATTAGCAGCCGCAAAAATGGGAAGAAGCGATCGTTAGTTGTGCATCATCTATCAGAGAAGAATATAAAAATCTCTTTTTTTTTTCTATTTTTATATTATTCACATTTTTCGGGTTTTCAAGAATTACACATAATTAGACCTCTCTCTAGTATCATCGTTACGTACGCGTAACACATTTAGAGCGAATGTCGATGCATCAAGATACGCATCGCGGCAGTCGCATTTGCGTGAGCGTGTTTCCACGCGGATGATAATCAGAGGCGTTGTTGTATATGTTCCGGTCATAATTACATTATACATTCACCCTCATGACACGCTAGATTGATAAACGATTGACCATTTGGTGATTAAAGTAGTTCCATAGTCTCTTCCTTCTTTTGCACAGAAACTGTTATAGTTTAGATACCTTCGAGTGTGCAATAATAAACAACAACCTGGAAATTGATTTATTCATATAATCCCTTCATTGTCATGTTCATGACATTTGTACATAAATATTGCTGCATATTTTTAAATGCATTGTACACGATATGATAAAGTTTCGTGTTCTTAAAAACGTCGTAGCGAATTATAAAAAGATTATGATATGTATTACGTAGCTTGCAAAATTTAAATGAGTGCAGTAAATGCAATCGATGCTAATAATAAAAAAAAAAACATATTTGTGTGTAGGAAATCAAACTTACGCTTGAGGAAGTAATTTCCGTGTTGTCGCATAAAACATAAAAAATTCTTTCTAAAAAAATATATAAGATACAGTCTGATAATTCAGACATAGGGTAAACTCGGGTAACTCAGTCTAGCTCGTCATGAAACATCGAATGAACATGAGTTAACCATCTTTCCTGTATACCATCTAACCGAGTTTACCCTTCGGATTCTGATGCAAATGCAATTTTTATAAGTGTCGTATAAAAATTTTATAGCAGAATAAAGGCGATGGTACACGTATTCTATAAATGCTAATGTTCTAGTCTGAATGTTAATCCAGCTAAAAATGAGACACAGACAACCATATCATGCATAATCAAAGCTTTCATCGCCATTTAAATATCCGCATAATTCGTGCTAGGTTCCTCACTAATTAGCCAGACGAAAAAATTGACATTTCTACATTTGGACCAAATTTTGCTTTTCAACTCACGAGAATAGCATAGGGATCAAATATGTGAGTACAGAACTGGCTTCAAAATTGAATTAAAAAATATAACAAGTTTTGTATAAACTAAAACCGTTTGAAATATTGAAAATATATTAAACGAGAATTGAGTTTTTGGAAAATGTCATTTCTATTATGTATTTATAGGCTTGCATTTGAAATCATACTGTCAATATAATCTTTTTGAAATTGAATAAAGACTGCTATTACCAAATATTGTTATATCAGTAAAATAAATTCTTCGCCCGAAATAGTAGTCGTATATTCGTCAAACATTCAGTAGTTACTTTATAATTAGGAGAATCTGAAAACGCTCTGACGCAGAACCGTAGAGATAATGACGTGTGGTGCATGAAAGCAAGTAAATTGGCGTTGTTCTCACGTTTGCGAGGTATTGTGGCGCTAATTGACATTTATGATGCACGTTGCGATAGGAAGTACCGTGGGAAGTTCGTAAGCGATACATTTTCGCGTCGATTATACTCTGGGACTAAAGACTTCTTATCAACTCTAAATTACACTTTAGATAGATTTTCTAGCAAATCCAATTTGGCTATCACGTCATATGTAATTATGTAATTAAATAGCTTTTTATGTTTTATAAAATGTAATTTGGTAGATATCATTTTCTATAGAAATAGTTGTAGTATTTAAAAATGTTAATACAAAATAATATATAAAATTGATATAAATATACATATATGTTATATCTATACATTTTTTACCAATTTAATTAAAATTAATTTAACAATTTAATAAACAAATTTTGAATAGGACGATGATTAGAAATATACTTTTACTATGCAAAAAGATTGTCTAAATTCCATCTAAATTCTATTTATCGATTTATTACAATGCGATATGTATTTATCTATAGTCAAATAAATATTAGTAAATTATTTAATAGAATATTAATACACTAAAAATTTAAAGAAGAATTTATTGAAAAAATTTTATTCGGTATCCCTTGAAATACCTCAACTTTCTTTTATAGAATTTATGTGATTCATATATTAACATATTTCTTTAGTTTATGAGGTTATTGACTTACAATTAGAAAGATGAAGACAACGTTATTGGCTATCATGCGTGTTATGTCATTATTCTTGGTTCGTCAGGCGTGGCTGATTGACTCGTTTACCTAAAACTTGATGACGATACATTCTTATTAAGGCCGCTCTTCATCAAAGAACAGATACTTGAGTAAAACAATCAGATTTTATTCTCGATAATAAAATATTAAAATGTAAAATTAGACAAATTAAATTTGCGATATATATATATACATATATATATGCACATGAAAAAGTGTCATTGTCTAATTTTACGTTTGAATATTTCATCCGCATTCTTGCTCTCAAAGAGCAAGATATATGCATATATATATGTGTCATCTACTCGTGGATGTGAGTCTTTATCTCTTTTTACTTTTTTTGCCTTTGTGCCTTTTCTATTTCTATCATTTCCTTTTTCTGTTTACTTATCTATTATTCTTTTTCCTTTTTCTCTACTACTTTATTTTTACGGCAGCCCCTCTGTTTGCGGTAATATCTTGCTCCATAGTTATAGTATAGTTACTAATAACAGTAGTAAGTTTTAATGAAAACGTTACACATACACACACACACACACATAGACAAACGTCGCACGGTCGCATTGATATTCGTAGTAACGTGTGCATGCGATACAATCCCGGCGGCTTGCCTCTCTTGAATTCATGAACGTGCGTGCCGTAGTGCACAGATTCGATGAACTGTTGGTATTTTGCACGCGAATCTCTTTGATTATTCACATTGTTCCGCTTCAATTCAGGTGCTTGAAACGTGTAGCGTGTCGAACGACCTTAAAATTCCGTCGGCGATTAGTACTGGACAAGCTTATTTCTTTCTTTCATTCATCTGTCTGACAAATTCTGTCAGAGTGCAATAACAGATTCGTAAAAGGTTTTCTTTTCTAGAACATATATGTAATTTGATATATGTAGGAAACCACTATAAATTTTGCATAAAAGAAATCTAGGTTCTAAAGATGCTGGACTGGATTTTTCTTTGAGTTAATGTCTAAAAATTCTGTGTGATCTAAAGGTTCAAAAGGGGGTTTAAAAAGACTCGTACAGAGAAAGACTGATATATTTTTCACGCAACTTGTGGCAGCATGGCATATTCGATATAATCTCGGCAAAATATTCTATTTGTTATAACCGAGAAAATTGTTGGCTGAGAGTGGATTTGTAAAAAAAAACGTTTTCGCGTCGCAGGACTGTTATTTCACGGCTCTCCGATCCGATTCCCATCTCGCTGATTCCGGGGGTGGAGTCGTCGGTTGAAATAAAGCCAGACAAGAAGCCCCGGCTGCTAGGCGTCACGCTATTTTCCACTAGCTCAGCGGTACGTCGGGCACCCTCGTCCCTCCTAATCTCACTCTACGTCCTCGCCGCCGCCTTGCAGACGCGTTGTCAGTTCTGTATAAGATCCTCCTTATCGTTTCGCGTATCTCTATGCGCACAATGGCCAATAGGCTGCGGGCATTTCGGTGCGAAACGTAATATCGTGGCCCCGTATAAATTGTTGCTCGTTCATCTTCCTATGCCGAGAAGAGAACGTCGGCTGTCGGACGTCATGAAATCGCAATGTACGCGGTAATTTCCTATTGACTTGTAAAAATGAACGTTTTCAATTACAAATACATTCTACAAAAAAGCCGTATAGCCGTTTCCGTTCTCGGAGAACGCGAAAGTTATGATTATATCGTCCGTTTTCGAGTATGGCTGTCGTAAACGGAAATGTGCCGAGGCAACTCAAGTGAAAAGCATTGTGAGGAGCGAAGTCAATTGTTCGAAGAGGGCTCTTTAACAGATAATGGAGTCACGGTTGGACACGCGAGTGGATCACAGGTGTCGATCCGATCTCTGGGGAATCGTTTCATAAGCCTTATGGGAAACTGAAATTTTTGGAACATTTTAAGAATGGTCTGATCTTTGTCTGATCTTGGCAACGTCTTTGGTCCTAAAACAACTACAATTTTACTTTTTTCTGTGAATTATTAAATTATTATTATACGTTGAGTAAGGTTTTCAAAAAGTTGCATAAAAGAGAGAGAAAGAGAGACAGAGTCGATATCATAAAATTGCGATGCTCTAAATGATTATTACACAAACTGTAATTAAATATTGCGTAAATAGCGGTCTACTAAGGCTGCATGCGTTCCGATATTCACTGTCAGTACTGAAAATCTATAGTTTACGTAACGTACACTATAGATTTTCAGTACTTGCAGTGAATATCGGAACGCAGCCTGAGACTTGTTTATTTGGCGTTATCTGCGCCAAAATTGATCACTCAAAAATTAGGAAAAAGTACGGAAGTATTAGGAAGATACATGGGTTTAGCAAAGATACTTATCGCAATCTCCAACGTAGGAAAATTGTTAGTTTATTGCAATATTTTATTCGTCCTTAAAAAAAGACTATAAACAGTTTATATAAATGATACAAAACTCATATATAACGATTCGCGGAAACAAAATATCGGACGTGAAATTAAAGAGACGAGCGAAAATAAAACCGACAATAGTTGAACTGGTTGCGGTTTCGCCGTAACTCCGTTTACACTCACTAAAACGAGCCACATAAGTTTGGTAACATAAAGTCTCGTAAATGTAACATGGCCTTAAGCATAGGTCACTGTTTGGCCTTGCAACCGCGTCGCTTGTAGAAGTTCTGCGACTTTCATAGGATGAAATTACATTGCGGGGAGAGTAACAAGAGTGCGTAAACAAAGAGGAGACCAAATATATTTCCAAAGTGCGATAATTCCTGCTCATTCATTATCTTTATCTTGTTTTGATTCATTCATTTTATCATCTTATTCTGTATCATTCATTTGTTCATCTTTTTGTGCTCTTTCTATTCTGACTTTTTCTGATTTCATTTGTATCATATAAAATACTGAATTGGGTAAAATTTTAACTATTATAAGTATATATTATGATATACAATTTAACGTTTTTCGAAGATAACTATATAAGCTTGATTAAAAAAGCCTTTAAATTCATCCTGAACATAATAATTGCTATCTAATTATAAAGAGTATTAGAGTATCGTAACAGCTATAATCTTTTTCGCACTCTTAATATATTTCTGAACTGTTAATATCTTCGTTATTAGATCCTCCGAGTTTTAACCGTGGCATTTTATGAGTTTTTCTCATGAAAAAATTGCCCGAGAGGGACACAAAACTTGAACGTAATCATCGGCTGTGGTTACACGGCTATATTAGGCGGGACACGTTATAAACTCGATTGCAAGAAGCTCTCGCATGCTTTTGCGCCACTTGTAAAGGCAACTTGTACAAGACTGCACAGCTCGGCAGATAGTCACGAAAGCACTCGCGCGAGTAACAAGTTTCGACACGCCTTTATACACGCTCCACTTTTGTTGGAGCCCCGTACGATAGTTTGCCCTCCTAGGCCAGTTGACGTGAGGTAACAAAGGAATTTTCCTAGGGAAGGGATTCGCTTATCTTAGGAAACTGCCGCGGGGAAGAAAAAGTGTTATACCGATGCGATAATGCCGCGCGTTGCATCGCCATGTTGACGAGGGGATGACTTTCGAGGGGATGACTTTCGAAGTAACAACAAACCCCTTTTGGGATCTCCTTTCCGTTTTCCTTCTCTAACGTGTCAAACGGTACAATGAATCAACAAAATGGCAAGAAATTCGAGTAGCTAAAAACTCAAGTTAAAAATTCTCTTCATTAATGTAACTGCAATTGTACAATTTTTTTTATAATAGTTCGCGATTAAAAAATCATTAGCTAATATCCCTATCGAACATTAAACTGAGGAGGATCTTAACGCATTATGTACGCTCTACGTCCGACAGTTCTATTCTTCACAGTACTACCGCACATTTGTTACACCGAGGGTAAGACGAAGGAGGTTTTCGGTGGAAGAGAGCGTATTTAACGAGACCAGTGGAGAATGCACTAAAAGATCGTAGATCTCTCGAAGGGGAGAGTTACGGAGATCGAAAGAGAGATGACCTTTCTCCCATTATTCACAGATTATTCTCGATAATAACAATCGACATTTGCGAGAAAGAAGGCTATAAATAAAAGATAATAGATGAAGACATATTTTTATGCCTTTTAGAGTACAAATATATATACATATTTATGTTTATCTTTTTTCATATTTTATCATTATATGCGACTGCTTTTTAATATTAAACGCGATGTTTATTATAAACCCAGTTGTAATTAATAACAATTTTTATGAGCTGACTTTTTACATATACTTTACATATATTATGTACAAAAAGTAATATTTGATTTTCTAATGTTATTTTTAACTTTTAAGTCTTAATTCGAATTTACGCGCGAATGTATGCAAATGGGTTTCAAGTGAAATGAGAACGCATAAAAAATGTAGCTCTTTATTACGCTCGAATCAGAATTGTGCGAATTGAATGTGTTATTAGACAAGTAGTCGACTACTAGCCGCCAGCTGTGAAATACGATGTGGGACGCGCTAATTTCTGCCTTGGTACGCTCGAGGAGATTTGTGCGCGACGAGTTGCATGCGTTCTTCGTACTTATAAGCGATGCCGATAGTGCTCCCAGTTAGAAGCTACTCGTGGAATAGAGACATTACATTCGCAGTTTAGATAAGACATATCGCGTGGCAACACACGATGTCAAAGGAGTCTGCTCAAGCATCTACGCTTATCAAGATTAAAATCAGGATTTACAATAGGACTTCACAAACTAAAGCAATCTTGACGGTTAATCGCGTTATGTGTTGTCACAATGCATAAACGTGCATAATTTTGCACATTGTAAAATGCATTTAAAAACTACGTAATCTTCCATATAATCGCGGTATAGTCAGTCTATATGTATGTGTACTTAAATGGATATATTTTATTTTTGCGCTTTAACTGACTTTTGCTTAAGATTGCTTTCATTGCGAGCGGATAAGATAAATCAAGTCGTATAGATTATTCAACATTGAGAATTTATTTTAATTATTTAGAGAAATATATTAGCTCGCATTTAGTTTAATATCAGGATGTTTGAGTATAAACGGATATACAATAGATTCCAATTTCCTGACAGTTTAGAGATGTTACTTCTTATCTAACATTATTTTCCTTCGTAAAAGTGTTTATCAATCACAATGGTGGATTATTACTACTTACATCCTGTGATTGCTATCGGCGCACAGAATAAATTACCATAAAGTATGATAACGACGAGCTGACGAGCTGCAATAGGGCATATAAAAATATAAAATTTGTAAGATTTCCTACGTAAGTTGCGCTCGTTTTACCGTAGTGAAACCTTCCAAAGACGGCAAGAACAGGCCAAGGCAAACCATCAATGTGGAAGTCTTCATACTTCGGTGCGTTATCATCATGAGACATTTTTGCGTGTTCAATGGAGCCGCGTACCATCGAGTGTTGCATCTGTGATATCATATATTAATCCATATTAATATTAATCCATTATGTGCGATTACACAAACTTTGGATATATATTTAACTGAAAAAATCTCGTATTTTTTCTACACTCACATTTTCTTAAATATATCGTCGCTATGATCTATTACTAACTGACCAATGTAGTTAAAAAAAAACATGTAGCCAAAATGAGTGGAAACGTATAAGAACAACATGCTCATACTGCCAATATCTTTCGCCATGATGCTCTCGCAAAACTACGGAACTTGCAATTTTTCAAAAATCGTTATACGATGTTAATGGTACAACTAGAAGGTTTACAAACTCACAAGATATAGGTTGATGCTTAACGATGCAACGCCGATAGAAATCGCAAATAAATGAGTAACTGAGAAAGTGGATTTGAGGGAATCGACGAACCTTGAACAATTATCACATAAGGAGATGGTTTAACTCGATTCAACTGGCCGCTTTATTAATATAATATTTAAATACACAACATTTCGATCCAACTAGTCTTCGACCATGGTGTGGTCCTTATCAAGTGGTCCTTATCAAATTAAGTTATAGATTTACAACAAGGTTGTTCTATGAAACCTCTTAATTATAAAAACTGATAATGTAACGAAAATAATTCAAATTACGGATTTTCATATTGCATTCATATTCAGTATGTCTTCGAGGTTAAAAAGCTTCTTGCAACGGCACCATTGTCTCAAAGATCATCGCATATCGTCCCGATGTACATGGAGTACAGAGAGAAACGTTCAATCCTAATTGACAGCCAATGGCTGTTTGTTACTGCTTCTGTAACGGTGACGTTGTCTCAAAGAACTCAGTGCGGTTTCGTGATTGATCCCGATGTACAAAGAGCACCGAGGGAATTAAGAGGTTCCTCAGAGCTCATTGTAAATCTATAACTTAGTTTACACTTGATAAGGACCACAAACCATGGTCGAAACGTTGAGTATTTGAATATTAAATTAATAAATGACTAGTTGAATCGAATTAAATCATCTCCTTTATTAATTATTACTGGCGAAGAAAAAGATTACCTCAGAATTATCACATAGTAATGCGAATTTGAATTCTTAGAAAAAAAAAAATGTTCACTCGTAAACAAATATCCATAACATATGCACTATATTATATAAAAGTATAGAAAAGTAGTATAAAAACAGATTAGTAGAACAGTTTTAGAATATAAAATAGTTTCGTGTCGTATAAAATTTTTTACACTCTTGAGAATTATTCCTGGAAGAATCTTATAAATTGCAATACCAACTTGATAACGTTTTGATGACTATCGATAGCCTCCACGATGCTTTTATGACTATTGAATTTTTCTGCAGAGAGTAACGATTTCGTATGGTTTTTGTTTACAGTACGTTCGATTCGATAACTAAAATGCAATTATGTCATGATATATTGAATCAAAACAACATGTTTATAGTTCCTTTATTAGTATTTAAGAGTGCATTACCTAGTGATTTGAAACATCGCACATGTGTGTTGCACATACATTAGCAAGAACATTTCTTTGCTTATCATCGTGCTAAGACCGATAAAAGCTGTCACGAACAAATACAATGTTAATAATTCGATGTATTTCTCCCGATCGATAAAAAATTCCATTGTGGTAGGAAGCTGCCACGATTGTCGCGATTCGTTTAATGGCATCACGATATTAAGAATATTTGGTGAAATAAGTATTAAAACAATGAGAAAGAACGTTGAGTACAGCCATACTGCAACAATCATATATATTCTAATTTCAATTTTAATTTTTATCCCGTGATCGTACTGTAATTCAAAATGTTTTGCATGTCAATTCTATTACTCACTTAACAAAGCGATTATACAGGATCTTCCGACATTAGCGCGATTGTGTATTATTTTAAGTTCCTCTTCCTCTTTTAGAGAATTCCAATCATGCCGCACTTGTTCCATAAGCTCTTTCAACTAAAACAAGACATTGATAATCCAGATGTATCTTAACTATATGTGCACGAGAAGAAGCTGCTTGATTTTTCAGGATGTACTTTATACGATTTGATCGCGTTTATAGAAATCGATCATACTGTTCGTAAACTTACTTTACTGCCATTAATATACGTAGTAAAATACTTAAGTGTGCAATATATTGCAAGTCCGATGGTCGAGAAACCATTTAAAAGAAGATCTACGCTGTACTTATTAGTGATAAACGATGATAACTAGAATTATATGCGTAGTATTCACCCAAAGAATTAGTAGAAATATTTGTGTGGTACATATGACAATAATTTATGTGCTAATCTAATATGATATTTATATATCTGATATGAATACTAATCTTGACATTTAAATTAATATGAAATATTGTAAAAGTAATAATAATATGAAGTCTCAAATTAATTTATGTCGTACTTTTAAAACCGATCGAAAAAGATTACTGACAAATAATAAAATAAAAAATAATACATTAGATATATATCATAACAAATTATTAATCACAAAACAATTAAAATCACGAAAACAATAAGAATAAACAACTAGCTGTAAACAAATATCGAACCCGGATTGATCTGATCGACGACAAACCTGAAAAAATATACAAGATAAAAAAAGGAGAAACACAAATATGAAATAGACGTATTTCGTGCGTTGTGTATAATATGGCCATAGTCCAAGGCAAGTTAATAGTATTTGATTGATTCTATAGTAACGACTCCCAGCAAAGTCCATGTCTGCACGATACTCGAGATACTGTTCCGCCGATAATTTATATAGAGATTCTCGTGTCTACTAATATTTATAAGTATTGTGTAATATTTTCTTTTACAAAACGCTGAGAACGATAGATAGTTTAAATGCAATTTTCGCAAAAAGAATAGCGTAGCTGCTATCAGAAATTTAAAAAAGAGACAATTTTACAGTCATTATATGCATTATGTCATGCATATGTATATAGAATAATGAAAGAAAATAGTTTTTAGAGTGAATTGTAGATAAATAATCCATTCTTGCTGGCAGTGCAACATGATGGGGGGTGATAATATACACAATTTTCTCCATTTTTTTCGACGCAGGCGCTTTAGATTCGTGTTCTGTCGCCAAAGTCACATGCCTTCATTTCCTTATTTCCGCGTGAAGTGATCGCGATAGTCATCTTCCTTGTAATAATAGAAAAACTTATATTCGTATTGTTACTGTGAATATAATGGAAAAGAAATGTTAATTATATCATATCCTACGGAAGAGCAATCAAAATGTGTTTGAAGAGTGATATCGCTAAACCAACATTATATTTTTCTAGTTTATTTTATATACAGTTAGTGAAAACAATTTAGTAGATAAATTGCATTTGTATCATTATATCTCTATATAACAGGCATGATATAAATATACTAGAAAACTACTTGCATCGTAGAATTTTAAGCTTCAATTTTTATTTTATTGTGGATAATCAAAAGAGGGAAAGAATAACCGCAAAGTACGAAATTGACGTGCTTGTAAGCTGAAATATAAATTATAGCAAATCTAAAGGAAAACTGTTCGATAAAGGATTATTATATGTGCCGAAATTTACCGTGGCAAATCCCTCGAACGACGGAATGAATAAGCCGTCAATGACGATTATGCAATGTCGCATGCTCCTTTGCATCACAAGCATCAATAACTTCTGCGCTTTCAACGGAGCTAGATACCATTGCACGTTGTATCTAAAATATTGTTATCAAAGAATTATATGTATAATTGAAAGTTTCGATAACGTTAGGGATTTATTTTTCTTTAACCCTTTATTTATCGAGTGATATAACCCATTCATTTTCCTTGCATATAACATCCTGATATAAGTATAAGTAAAATAAATAGACCTATAGATAACAAAAGAACTTCTATAGGATTGTAATCAATTAAAGATAAATGGATGCAATACTCACATTCTGTGAAAAACATCACTGCTATGATCGATCACTTTCTGTCCCAAATAGTTATAGAAAAACATGTACCAAAAATGGCCAAGGATGTATAGAAAACTAATGATCAGCTCGGAATATTCCTTGGATGCTATCAATCGAG